AGTATTATTAAAAGGGCAATTTGCTATATCCAGATTCATAATGCTAATACCACACAAAGAATATTAAAAATAGATCAAGATCTCAAATATTTTATTTTCCTATTTTTAATATTCCTTAAAAATCCAGTTAARAAAATTCCTAACAGTTTTWTTCTTAGTAGTTCAAAGTGGAAACAACCCAAACACATCCATGAACTTCAGAGTGGAGAGAGGATAAACAGAGTGATTTCAATACATTCATACAAAGGAACACCAGTCAGCAAAAAATGGGAATGCACTATTGATCTAACATGCACTACACTGAGCTAACATGAATAAATTTCAAAAACATACAGATAAGCGAAAAAAGTCAGAGGCAAAACAGTACATACTGTATGAGTACACTTAAAATTCTAAGGCAGGCACAGGAAAATTATGGTAATAGAGATCAGAACTATAGGCGGAGATGGAGTGAAACAATTAGAAAGGGGAGCAAAGGTAGTAATAACTGAATACCTATATATATTTGTTAAAACTCAAAACAATGTCCTTAAAACATTACACACTAATTTATTTATTTTGCAGTTTGTACTTGCCTAACACATTATTAGGCAAATACTCTCCACTGAACTTCTCCCCTAGCCCTGCACTCCAATTTAAAAAATTACACATATATCCAGTAAGTCACAGGAATCCTTTGAATCTTTATTTCTTGCTTCTGGAATCTTGGGACACAAGGACTATCAAGTATCAAAGACAATGTAGAAAGAAAAAAATAATATAAGAGTCTCATAAGCCTTATTTTTTGGGCACAGTGTTGGGGATGGAGCCCATGGCCTTGCACATGCCAGACAAGCACTCTAATGGTGAACTATGTCTCCAGCAAGACAATTCTAAGTTAGACTCCCTAAACATTAAACATAACTCTCATTACAAGTCAAGTTAAAAAAAAACAGGCACTCTTAAATACATGCGCTGAAGGTAGCAGATAACAAAATATTTATTTTATTGTAAAATTAAAAACAGTAGACAAGCATATATACAGTTCCAAAGCAGAATACAAATATATAAATTATTGCAATTTTCAAAGAAAATATAACAGCAAATAATGTCTAAATAAACTTTTTTGAAACAAACCTAGTTTTGACCATAGCAGTTTCATTTTCTTTTTTCAAATGTCTTAGCACAATTTTGTAAAATATATTTGTAACATCAAGCAAGATTAGCTCAATGATCATAGTATATGTTACTCAGATATAAAGCAAGATTTACACATACAGACACATTATAAAAGTAGAAATGGCATTCAACAGCAATTACTACCAAATACTTTCTAAATTGCCTYTTTTGAAAGTAGTAGGATAGGGAAAAAAATTAGACAAGTTTAAAYGAATCTAAAACACTCTTTAGTGCACTTGGGGGAAATTCAATTAACACTTTTTTKGGGGGAAAGGGTAGTATTCATCTCCATGATTTTTTGTTGTTGCACTTTGGTAAGTTTAAAATTCAAAATCACTGAGATGCACTTCTAATATGAACTAAACTAAAAACAGCAGAGAAAGATATGTTATAAACTAGGTGTTAAAAAAATTAATGGTACCAACTTGCAATAATATGATTCACAGCAAAGTAATCATATAACCATAGCCTGAAGTTACTTAATAGGTTAGCCTACACCATAACAATGACAAACGTGAAAGGCAAATATGGAGATTGCAAGATGGAACCTCAATATCCCAAACACAGAATTGTAGCCCTCCTCCTTTGTGCCAAATCCCATTATCTTATTAYTCTGGTAAATAAATGCTCCTTTATCCCATTACCACTTAACTTCGCAAGCATAACTTGTTGAGAGCTTTATCTCTTACTAATTTTTACCACAGATTTCTTCAAATAATCATTTCCACAAATCTGAAGTGAAAAATGCAATCATATACTGAAATCAAMTCAGTTATGTTTGCTTTACAGTCACATCTGAACAGATGGTATCTGAAAATCTTATAGAATATTAAACTTAATATGTACTTAAAATACTCAAATATCTTAYTTTAGCATAAGTAATAATAACATGTCTATAAATGAACTGGCAAAAGTCATAAAATATAACACTACAAGGATTTTACACAATATTCCATTTAAAAGTTTTCATGTACATCTAACTTTACAGTTATTAATCTGAACCTAATAGACTATACAAATAGTTTAAAATTTCTACTTAACTTTAGAGCTCAAACATTTTTTATGCCATTTTACAATGTTAACAATGAAACCAGACTTCCTCTAAAATAAAACAATAAAATCAAAATAGGTAAACTTTAACACAAAAATAGATCTAAAAAACTTATTTTAAAAAACTAGCAAAAACGGATAAGTCTCAACAGTGTAAACACCAAGGTAAACAATTATTTAAAAAAAMCCAAAACACTTTAAACCATTTTCAATGGCAGAAATACTGTAAAACAAAACCAAGAAATCTATCAAGATGACAATAAAATATATTTCGATTATATTTTTGTAATAATTTTCCAACATGAACTTTCTATTTAAAAATAACTCTTAAATGCATWTAAAAATGGGCACTTTATGGTAAAATGAACATGTACTTTGAAAAACTAAGAACATCTCTTTGCTCTGATATCAGCATATGGGAAAGAAACTACATAATGGAATAGAACATCATTTGGCTGCCTGAATCATGTTATTGGTATCTCAAGTGCATGCCTTTTTAAGGACTTAGATATTAATACCAGGATCAATGGATAAGATGATGAATCTCAAAAGTAAATATTACAACAATTTAAACACTTTATTTAGTTACTTATCTTTTTGTGATGCTGGGTATCAAATCCAAGGCCTTACCACATTTGACTTCCAGTTTTCTAAAACTCAATTTGTCTAATTACGAAACTAATACAAAAAAAAAAAAAAAAAAGCTCTGAAAATGTCAGTAGTGTCTCACTAGCAGTGTTTTTTTTTTTGCCATTTTTGAAACTGAAGCCATACGTGAGATATTTTTCTAAACTTTCTCAAAATGTACTAACAACTGTACAAAACARCCAAATATGGAATTTGTGATTTCATGTTCTCTCAAGTTATAATTCAACTCTGTTCCTGAACCTTATTTTAGCATACAATACTTGCATATTCAATCAACAAAGGATGAGAATATATAAGTTTATCAAATATTTGGATAGACTGCTATGCAAAATATTTCAAAAWTTTTTTCCTAGAAGTTCATCTGAGTAAGTACTAGTGTGAATACCAGCACCATAGACAGTTTAGGAGCACCTTTCCCTTGAAAACAAGCTTAAGCAAAACTATCTAAATGGAATAAATAGAAGTCCTCAATTAAACCTTAGTACATGCACAATCCTACCCAATCATTCTGAACTCATTAGTAAAAGCTATGTATTTGCCAAAAAACTCTAAGGGATAAGCAAACATTTCCTTTGGATAACACTACTGTATTTAGGACTGTACCATATGGCTCATATTCTGGAAATATGCTACTACTGATWTGAAATGCAACACATCCCAAACTTTTATGACTGTCCCAAAGTTATCTAAACAGAAGCCCAAATATGTGCAACTACTCAGGCTGGTAACATTCTTAATGAATTATGCTAAAAAAGAGTAAAGTCAAATTTGAAAATGTAACCATAACAACTAAGCACTAAAATACTAACTGGCATAATCAGCACAAGTCTTTAGTCAACGTATACATTTGGATATTTTCATATTGCACGTATTCAATTTAAAGCTTATTAAAACTAAGGCAATGCATCCACATTCCTACTCCCTGGATTTTAAATTCATTCTGGATGACTCAAAAAATTGAGAGAAACTGAAAGAATATTTCAAGAGCTCCCTATAAAAAGTTTGACAGTTATGTCATATTTTAAAGAAAAATAAAATCAATGAGATTAGCAATTATTATCCTCAGTCCAGTTTCATACATCTTAGCATTATAGAAAGTTCCCTTCAATGAGACTGAAGAATATCTTTGTGTACTTAAATACTGTTTGTGTTTAAGACTAAAATCTGACCCAACCTAGGATAAGCTGCCAAATTTAAGCAGAAGTCATTCATATCTTTATGTATGAGGCTGCTGAGTGAATAGACAGACTTCTCTGTAGATTCTTTCAATCAAAGGATCTACCTCATAAATACATTCTAAGCACCAGCAGAAAACAGAATTTAGAATCCACTGGTATTTTGCATTGATTATAGTATTTGCTGTAAAAAACTATCTAGCTGCTTGATAGTTTTAACTTAACATCTATTAGTTAACAACTCTTTGGAAACATCATAGGCAGCTTATAAGCATAACCTTCTAAACATGGGATTATTGAATTAGAAGCTTTATTTTTCTAATGTCAAGCAATGTTATCTTAGATTCTAAAATTTAGAAAAACACCTTACAAAGCTTTCTTGGAACACTAATTTCAATGACACTGATAAYAGAATTTGGACAATTTAAGAATTCTTGAAATTATGTGAAGTGGAAAATAAGTTTTTTTTCAAAATAGGACACTTTCAAATTGAAGATATTACTTTTGACTTGGAAGTGAGGCTTGACTTACTCTATCTAAATTTTAACACAACGAAGTCATTAGAATGAAAGTAATAATAAAGTAGAAAAGGTTTTCACTTCTATGGAGGCAAAATTAGATTAGTATTTTCTTCCTAAGCCATCTCAGAACTACTTTTGTTAGAAAATAATAATGTATTTTATATACTTGGATATTTACTTTAAAAAGTTATTCTTATTTTCATAAGTTATTAGAAGTTAAAACAACTCAATTAGATTTCTAYTCCAAAATACATTTATCTTTGGAAGGAAAGATAACAACTGTAAAAACATCATATTTAAGAGAATAAAATGAAGTGATCTGAAATATAGGTGAGCATATTCACACATATAAGTGTAAATACACAAAGCCATTCAAATACACATTTACAAAGAGAATGAAAAGGTACCTAAAATAGCATTTTTATATATAAAATTTTTTATATTAAAATATTGCTCATAGTAAATAAGAGGTGCTTATTATGAATTCCATTTCCCTTTTAAAATTATCTTTAGTAATTCAGGCTAATATATGGAGTTTGTTAACCTATCGTTTTGACAATAAAATCACACTGTAACAGTATATTTAAACATACACGTGATAAAAGTTAGGGAGAGGCATTTAGTGATTATGAGAAAGATTCCCAAAATGAAGCCAAATGATTATCCTAGAAGACTAGGGTATAATGATCTGCTTTATTAGACAAAGATGTTAAATACTGTGCCTTAAGCTTTGCAAATTTAATGACCATAAAAAAATGGACCGTAACCTTCTTTAAAACTTCTTCAAGTTGCATTCTTGGCAGACTGATAAAAAATAATTAGTTCAGTTGTTTATGGGTAGGTGTGTCTTCATTCCTGTTCGTCCTACTTGTAGGCATGGTAACTTGGAATAGTTCTTGAGAAGCTGTTCAATGGCGACATGACGGACATGGAGCTCTGAAGATAAAGAATCTTTTTCTTGTACTTGATGTGTTAACTCTTCAAATACTTCTGTAGAGATTTTAAAAAATTGCCTTTTTAGTACACAGAAAACTAAAGCTAATCATATGACTTATATTTTCAAAATATATAAGTACTCTGAAAGGAATGCATTGGGAAAATTTAAGCAATGAAATTGAACTGACTTCAAGGAAAGAGCGGGGTTCTCAAAGATTATTTAGTTCTGATCATCCTTGGAAGTCTCTGTAGTTTGAAACTTAAAAGAGTCACAAGCAATAACTACAGACCCATACAGCAGAAATGGTGGTTACCATTATAGCTGAGCCACTTCTCAATTAGGATCTCTAAATAGGTTTCACCAATACGCAATAAAATTTATGTGTGCATAGAAAGTGCCCATTAATAACCAGGTCTGGAAACTTCTCTAAGAGGTTTTGGAATCAGATTATCTAAATTTTCAAATTCTTAGTCCTACTATTATGTACCTCAAGCAAGTAATTTACAGCTTTCTATTTCAAATTTCTTTTATGTTTAAGATTGAAAATAATAGTGCTGGGGCACTGTGGCTTATGCCTGTAATCCTAGCAGCTCAGGAGACTGAGACAGGAACACTGCAAGTTCAAAGCCAGCCTCACCWACTTAGTGAGACCCTGTATCAAAATAAAAAATAAAATGGGCTGGGGATGGTTAAGTGCCCTTGGTTCAATTCCTCATACAAAAAAAGAAAAAAAAAAAAAAAAAGAAAGTAAACACTAAACAGGGTTACTGCCAGGATGAAATGAGATCATATTTGTAAAATACACAGAATAAGYACTTGATGAATACAAATTGCTATAACTATCATCATCATCATAATCACTCTCAGCCTATAGTTAAGACTATTAGCTTTGGAGTTAAAAATGGTTTAGAATCCTTGATCTGTTACTGATTGAATGGCATAACTTTGTAAAAAATGGCTGAAAGTCTCCAAAGTGCAATATCCTCACCTAAATGGGAACAAATTATAAAGAAAAAAAGAGGGAGATAATTGGGTAATTAGAGCTTTATTAACTCTTGGTGTTAACATCATATTTGATGATGGTAAGGAATTATTAGCGTTTTAAAAGGTATGAGATAATAAGATTGTAGGGTTTTTCTTCTTTAATAAAAGTCATCTTTTAGGGAAAATCCTGGAGTGTTTATGGACAAAACAATATGTTTTCTGGGACTTGTTTTTAAAATAATCCAYGCTGGAGAGGAAGTGGGGCAAGAGGGGATACAAGTAGAAATGAAGAAAAATTAGCTATGCATTGATAATACTGAAGCTGGTGAAGATGGGTAAAATTTCACTATGTTGGTGTCACTACATTTATATGTTTTAAAAATTGTTCATAATTAAAATAAAACAAGCCAGGCACTGTGGCACATTTCTGTAATCTCAGGGGCTTGGGAGGCTGAGACAGGAGAATTGCTAGTTCAAAGCCAGCTTAAACAACATAGGAGGGCCCTAAGCAACTTGGTGAGATCCTATCTCCAAAAAAGGGAAGGGGATGTGGCTGAGTGGTTAAGCACCCTGGGTTCAATCCCTGGTATCCAAAACAAAACAAAAATCAGGGCTAATATTATCTGCCTTAAAGAACTATCAGGGAGCACATCCACAATCCCTGGCACAGTAGTTCATAATCAGTAAAATGTTAGTAACAGGTTAACTCTAGTATCCATTTTTAATTAGAAAAGAAAAGGACCTATTTCCCCTGCAGTTCATAAAGAAGTTGTTTTCTTATTCTCTTTGCTCTGTAAACTAAAAAATTCAAATTTCTATTTTCCAAATATAAATGCTGCTAAAGCCAATGGTGTCTTGTCACAGAGGATTTTTKATTCAAAATTTTCATGTGAAAAAACATTTAAGAATGATTCTTTACCCTGGATTTGTTGCCGAAGCTTTGCATTCAGTTGCTCTACCTCACCAAGAGTCATCAAATTCACTGAAACATGAAAATACATTCATTGTTACCACTACAATATAATTTGCCTAATATAATAATATTAGTTGCCTAATAAGTTGCCTAATACGGTATCCTATTTTAAAAAATTGCAGTTATCTGCCAACGTAACATTAAAGAGTACCCCAGAATTCATTCATTAGCTCTTACAATATGGAGAACTTTTCAAATACACCTACCAGCAAAAACCACATTTGACATCTCTAGCAGTAACAACCCCTCCAGCAGAAGCAAAAGTTTCACAAAAAATATTTAATAGTAGGTCTGTTGAATTGTGGTATCTCCAATTCTATTTTAGGTTTTAAAAAGTGCTAGTCTTTACCCATCAAGTCCCTTCTGACTCTAAGTATCTGATTCAAAGTCAATTAATATTACCTTAGTTTCTGTGATTTTTATTCATATAAATAGACAGTTACTTTTTCTAAGTTTTAAATAAATGCATACATTATTTTCTAGCCTTTAGTATTAGTAAAAATGTCAGATTTTTGCTTTTAAATGCCACCCCCAGTCAGTCTGGTATTGATTAGCAATGTGACAATGTGTATTAGCCAATAGTTGAGGCTATACTTCTGAACTATATGAACCCTGAACTTGCCAATTGAGTTTGCTGATTCCATTCAATTTAATCATTAAAATAGCAAAACAAATGATAGAGAACTCCCAAACATCAACACGTGAGACATACACATGACTATTCTAAAACATAGTGTTTTATAAGCTGCTCTAAATACAAATCATTTTTGCTAAGGTGAATCTTTTATTAAATACYATGCTTAACCAATCTGTGGTTCTAAATCAAAATTCTTGACACAACCCTCATTTATAAAACTGCAAAAACCCAAACAAAACTCCTCCAAAACAACCAAACAATACATCCACCCCAAACTTCTGTTTACCTCTCTTCCCATTTCACTTACATTCCTCTCTGCTGTAATGTAGACTCTGGGTCTGGCCATTAGCGTCTGGACTTGAGAGAGTCTCTTCTTTTTTTTGTGCCTGGCTGTGACTGTGAGGCCATAACACGCTGTCATGGCATAAGGTGGCACCTGAATCTTGTAACACAGCAAGGCCAAAGTCTGTATTTTCCCTCTGCTCCAAAATTGTTTGTGTACAGTTTGAGATGGCACCTGTACTTCCATCTATCCATTTTGCAGAATATTTTGGTACTTGAGAGTCAAACTGTGGGAGTAATTTTTTATCTGTTTTATGCCTAAAATTAAACAGATGATGTTGGGGATTTTTAGAACATTCGGAATCTGATTCCAGGTCTTTATTCTGTGCATACTGTACAATCCAGTTTATCTTCTTACTCAAAATAGTTTTAACTCCTTCATAAGTACTTTTGGTAAGTTTAGATCGAGAACAATCCTGGTTTGCAATTAAATGGTATTTTTCAAAGCAGTCTTTATGGCCCCTTAATGACTTGGTGTGCAAAAGATTAGATTTTGGTACTCCTATAGGAAAAAAAGAAAGAAACGTTTATGTTTATAAGCTACTTTAAATACAAATCTTAGTAAAACAGTCCCTTATAGCTTATAAATTAGAGGAAAAATGCTACAGAATATTGGCATTAATAATATAAAATGTGGCCTAATAACTTGTGTTTCAATTTAACTATATATTCAGTAATATTCTTATAAAAAAACAATGCCTTCCTAAGAACTTAATGATTCAATTTTAATCCTAGTCCATCAAGAGTCATTACAAAAAACATTACTGAACCCAGAAGTTTATTCTTCTTTTGGGTGTAGGGTACTAGAGACTCAGGGGTACTTAACCACTGAGCCACATCCCTAGCACTTTTCTGTATTTTATTTAGAGATAGGGTCTTGCTGAGTTGCTTAGGGCCTCTTTAAGTTGCTGAGGCTGGTTTTGAACTAGTGATCCTCCTGCCTCAGCCTCCTGAGCTGCTGGGATTACAGGTATGTGCCACTGAGAATGGCCAGAACTTTATTCTCATTGACTCCTGGCCTTTTCATCAATGCTTTCCTTACAAATCTTCCTGAAGTGTACACCTGCAAAAGTTTCTTTTATAAGGCTCAATATCAGAAATGCTCAAGCCCCTCCTCCCCCAAACAAAAGGTAAATCATGTTCTTAAATTACTAGTTCTGTTTTTATTGGAGAGATAACCAGAACCAGAAAATATACAATAAAAGTCTTAAAAAGTTAATACACTGTTTGTCAAGTTAAAAAAAAAGAAAAATGAAAGCATCTAATATTTTCATTTTCATTTTATAGTAAAACTTTCAAGATAATTTTATCTTCAAGAAGAAATGCATTATACACAATTATTATTTATATAGCTATACACAATTATTATTTATATAGCTGTAAGCTCAATCAGCCAAGATTCAGTAACCAGTACAATTCAATTCACAAAAATTCATTATATACCATAAATAATGAAATTATTTATATTCCACACCATAAATAATGAAATTATTTATATTCCACTTTATATTTCCTGATTTCCTAATAAACTATTCTAACTTGATTTTTTAAAATTTAGAATACATTTTCAAACATATAACAAATACATAGTCATATGCTAAATTATCTATCAGTTTCTTCAAAAGTTATCTTAAGCTATATGAGCATACCTCCTGAACATTAATATTATAGCCACATATGAACAGCTGTTCTCATGAGGTACATTCAAACATCCGAACTTTGTTTTTTCCAATGTGCATAAAAATTGTTAAATAATTTCATAAGACTTTCCTACTTACATGGTAAGTACAAGTTTTATTTACTACTTTGCTGGTGAYGATGTGGGGAAAAAGATACACTCATACATTGCTGGTAGGACTACAAATTAATACAACCACACTCCATAAAGCTGTATGAGGATTCCTCAAAAGATTAGGAATAGAACCACAATATGATCCAGCTATCCCACTAGTGGGTACTTATCCAAAAGAACTAAAATGAGCATACTACAGTGATACAGGCACATCAATGTTTAAAGCAGTGCAATTCATAATAGCCAAGTCATGGAACCATCCCAGGTATCTATCAACAGATGAATGGATTATGAAAATGTGGCAATGGATTTTTATTAGCCATAAAGAAGAATGAAATTATAGCATTTGCTAGTAAATGGATGGAAAAGGAGAACATCATGTCAAGTGAAATAAAACCAGATCCAGAAAGTTAAGGGTTGAATGTTTTCTCTATTATGGGGAAGCTAGAACAAAATAAGGGAAAACAGTGGGGGCAGGAAGGACAGAGCCCAAAGAAATCAGAAGGGAGATCAGTGAGGCAGAGGAAGGGGACCCAAGGGAGGCATGAGGTATAGGAAAAAATGAGCACTTGTGAAATGAAACTGACCAACTTGTACTCTGTATCTATATGAACGTACCACAGTGAATTCCACATTATGTCTCTAGAGGAAGAAGAATAGGGTGTGGGAAGTGAGGCAAGTGTTGAGGACAGAAATGGAACAATTATATTCCACAAATACATGATTATGTCCAAATGATCCCCACTATATGACTATAATGCATCAATAAACTTTTTTTCTATTTTTTTAAAATTTTATTTATTCTAATTTTTTATATATGAATGCAATTCAATTCATAGTACACACACAGAGGACAATTTTTCATGTCTCTGGTTGTATACAAAGTAGAGTCACACCACTYGTATCTTCATACATGTCCTTGGGGTAATGACGTCCATCTCATTCCACCAACTTTCCTACACCCATGCCCCCTCCCTTCTCCTCTTTTCCCTTTGCACTATTTAAAGTTCCTCCATTCCTCTGATCCAACCCCCCAATCCCATTATGGATCAGTATCCTCATATCAGAGAAAACACTCAGCATTTGGTTTTTTGAGATTGGCTTACTTTACTTGGCATTATATTCTCCAGTTCCACCCATTTACCTGCAAATGCCATGATTTTATTCTCTTTTAATGCTGAATAATATTCCATTGTGTATAAATACCACATTTTCTTTACCCATTAATCTACTGAAGGACAATGGTACAGAATAGAGAACACAGAGACTAACCCACATAATTATAGTTATCTTATATTAGACAAAGGCACTAAAAATGCTCATTGGAGAAAAGATAGCCTCTTTAACAAATGGTGCTGGAAAACTGGAAATCCATATGCAACAAAATGATATTAAGCCCCTGTCTCTCACCATACACAAAACTCAACTCAAACTCGACCAAGGACCTAGGAATTAAACCAGAGATCCTGCATCTAATAGAAGAAAAAGTAGGTCCAAATCTCCATCATGTCGGATTGGGCCCTGACATCCTTAATAAGACTCCTATAGTGCAAGAATTAAAATCAAGAATCAATAARTGGGATGGATTCAAACTAAAAAGCTTCTCAGAAAAAGAAACAATCAGTGASGTGAACAGAAAGCCTACAGAATGGGAGCAAATTTTTACCACATGCACATCAGATAGAACACTAATCTCTAGGATATATAAAGAACTCAAAAAACACCCCCCCCAAAAAAAAACAATCAATAAATGGGCCAAAGAACTGAAMAGACACTTCTCAAAAGATGATATACAATCAACAAATATATGAAAAAATGTTTAACATCTTTAGCAATTAGAGAAACGCAAATCAAAACTACACTAAGATTTTATTTCACTCCAGTCAGAATGGCAGCTATTAAGAATACAAACAACAATAAGTGTTGGCGAGGATGTGGGGGAAAAGGCACACTCATACATTGCTGGTGGGACTGCAAACTGGTGCAGCCAATATGGAAAGAAGTATGGAGATTCCTTGGAAAACTGGGAATGGAACCATCATTTGACCCAGCTATCCCACTCCTTGGTCTATACCCAAAGGAGCATACTACAGGGATGCAGTACATCAATGTTTATAGCAGCACAATTCACACTAGCGAAATTGTAGATCCAATATAAACATTTTAAAAGATGTTTTTCTATCTACCTTAATAGATTTTTCTCCCATAAACCTAGCAATTACAACATCTTAAATCATTCATTTCCCTCCATTCACTGCAAATTGGAGTCATCATCACCATCTGTCTAGTTCTCACCTTCTCTAACCAATACATCTTGGATAGTTTATTTAACAATTGCCTCTTTATTAGAGGTTATCTCTTGATACTAGGAAAGTTCTGTTTAAGAGGGGACCATATGTATTTTCCACATATGCATTCTCAGTGTTATTGTGTCTGGCACATAGCAGGTACTCAAGAAAAAGCAACTGTATTAGAAAAAAATTAAAACTATGTTTTAAAAAATCCCAAACAAACCTTATTACCAATTATCATTTACAGTCTACTACAATGAAGTTTTGCCAGTACTAGGAAGAATGTGCAGTTCTACCAGGCTGCTCAGAGAATAATTAAGAGCATCTTTAAGTAAAGGTACACCTATGTTTAATCTGACATATTTTTAAATATAAATTTACAGACAGTGCAAATATAAAGAGGGCTGTTTTACTATGTACACTGTAATTCATTCTTTGAGATTTGCACCTCTAACTTCTTTAGCTATATCAATTATACTAACATTTTCAAACAACTTAATTTTAAAGTTCAATTTGGACATGTTTGTTTTCTAAATATACTTTAAAATATCCCATGCAGTAGAGAAAACAAAAGAAAAAAATTTAAAAATACACTACTTCATATAACAAATTACTTTTTAGTCTAAAAAAATAATGTAAGTAGTTCAATTTACATCAGTAATATAAATGTCACTTTTTAAATTGAATTCTTGAAGCTATATTTTTTCCACTTCATCATTTCAAATTAATATGGGAGAAACAACCATTGCTATTATTAGAGATCTCAGTGAGTTTCTCAACTCACTTTTCTATTTTAATTGCATTTACAAGTGTAAATAGCTCTCAGCACTAATTTGTTTCTTAAGCAGCTTTTGAAAAGGAATGAATTTAAATGTAATTAAATGAATGGATACTTTTGAGGAACTGAATTATAAGGAATTTCCAAACCATTTCAAAGATTTCTTTACAATAAAAATTCTTAAGGCCAATGTCACATAGTAATTACTATGAAAATTTCCTTAAAACATGCCTGAAAGATACCCATGTCACTTTTTTGGTGAAAAGGTCATTACTATTAGAGAACCAATACCTTACTTGGCAACCATACTGATGTATTTTTTTTTTTAAAGTACTAGGTTCTTCTGGATAAAAGATTTTAGAAATATCTGTATGAACAGTGGCATTTTACAAAGTTAAGCTGTTCATATTGAACAGTTATTTTTTTCTCAGATTTTTTTATATAAACCACTTATATACTTTGAAAACCCTCCCACTAACCCATCTGGCATGCTATCCCCACATTGGTATTCTTTAACTCTTTAAGGTAATTCTTTTATGTAAACTTAGTTAAACCCAGAGAAACTCAAAGGCTACTAAAATGTAAATATTTATCTTTAATTACCACTGTTACTCTTAAAATTAAGAGTATTTCCATACCTA